TTCCTGCAGAAACACAGGCTCTCTGTGCTTGAAGAAGTAGGTCTGGGAGGATTATGCCCTCCAGAGGAAAAGCGAGGGTAAGAGGTGCAGAGGGAAGTTCTCACAATGGTATCTTTTGGTCCTTCTTGAACCTTGGTCACATAAGCCAAAAAAGGATATTCTTTTTTTTTGCTCAAGCCTGATTTGGATATCCATGAATCCTTATAGCTATTTTTGAGACAGGGTGTTGCTCTGTCACCCAGGCTGGAGTGCAGTGGCACAACCAACCACAGCTCACTGCAGCCTCTACCTCCTGGGCTCAGGCCATCCTCCCACCTCAGCCTCCCGAGTAGCTGGGACCACAGATGTGTGCTACCACATCCAGCCAATTTTTGTATTTTCTGTAGAGACAGGGTTTTGCCATGTTGGCCAGGTTGGTTTTGAACTCCAGGGCTCAAGTGACCCACCCACCTTAGCCTCCCAAAGTACTGGGATTACAGGCAAGACCAACAGCTCCCGGGCAGATTTTTTAAACTTGTATATTACTCAGCCAGGTGCTGTGGCTCACATATGCAATACCAGCACTTTCGGGGGCTGAGGCAGGAGGATGACTTAATTCTAGAAGACTGAGACCAGCCTGGGCAACACAGTGAGACACCATCTCTACAAGGAATAGAAAAAAAATTAGGTAGGTGTGGTGGCACATGCCTGTGGTCCCAGCTACTTGGGTCCCAGGCTGAGGGTGGAGGATCGCTTGAGCCTGGAAGGGTGAGGCTGCAATGAGCAGTGACCGTCACTGCACTCCATCCAGCCTAGGCAATAGGACAATATCTTGTCTCAAAAAAAAAAAAAAGTAAAAATAAAAAAATAAATTGTGCATTTCTAAAAACTTGTATTTAAACCTCATAATTTCTCCTCAAACAAGCAGCTTATATAAAATTACCCATAAAATTACAAGAGGATGCTAGTTTTGAATGATGAAAATTTTGTACATATTAAAATTTATTTTCTATGTATAACCAATTTTTCAAATATTAGATTTACTTATAAATTCACCAGTGTTATCATTATACAATTGGCTGAAATTAACAGCTGCAGTAGTTATTCTCGTTTTTCATATTCAATTCAAATGATTACAAAAGTTTATTTTCTGTATCTAATCAGAATTAAATATTTTAGATAGAATCTTACACTTCATTAGATAAAATATAATTGAATATCTGCTTAAGTAACAAAACAGTTAAGAAACTGTTTGGGTTATCATTAAAGGAGCGCATAAGTGTAAAATGCGTAGAAAGATATTTTCCAAATAAAATTCTAATAAAAGGCTAAACATTCTCAAATATTTTACATACATACATAAATTATTTCTGGTTAACATGTTTTTGCTTTAGTGCCCCCCCCAAAAAAAAACCGACAACCAATTTGATAAACTTATTTATAAAATTAAAGTTTTCTAGACCTGAATCCTATTATATCATCTCTTTGTTTAGAATTTTGCAAAATTCTTAGAAGATTGCATGGTAGGGTGGGGGAGGATAAATGCCTGCCAATACTGACATGGTTAATTAACAGACAGGCTCAAGAGGAGGAGGCTGGGAAAGAAGAGGGAAGATTATGTCACTAAGCACAGCTACAAAGCGAAGGAAAAGCCGCGAGGAAGCAGAGACAAAGGCGATCCGGCACACAGAGGCACGTTTGCTGTGGCTCAGGGTTTCTGTGTTTCAAGTGTTCAAAGATGAATTCCAGCAAGACTTCTGGTTTGAGTCAAGCCTTTCAACTGAGGTGCTTGGCGTACTTAACGGAAAAAGCGAGTACATTCAGATTTAGTTTTGCTAGATATTAAGCTAGAACACTGGTTGACAGTAAAACCAATACAGAAACGAAAAGTCGTGTAAAGAACCGTACACACAAACAGGTTTTGCTTATTCACATAGCAGGAGAGCATGGAAATTGGAGTTCAGTCGCTTTAGAAAAGATAAAGGGCAGGGAAGGGGAAGGGAGGGGAGGGGAAGGGAGGGAAGAGAAGCAGGAATGCAGAGGAGCCCTCCAAGAAAAGACGAGTGATTCGTGCATGAGAAGGAAATACATTCCGTCCACGTGAGTTCTGCTTCAGGCATCGCACCACGTTCCCTCCACCGGCACCTGGAGGGATGTGTGTTCAGGATCTCACTATGGTTGATTTCCCCATGTGCTAGACATACATTGCTAGCTAGAAGTTTTGCCAGGCATCTTCCCCTTTCCTAGTGCTAATGCCCAATTTCCTAAAGTAATCTGAATCTGTATAAGCCCGGGTAGCTCAGGAGATTTTATTTATTTATTTAGAGGTGGAGTCTCGCTCCATCGCCCAGGCAGATCACGTCTGGGCGCGAGTCTCGCTGCTGCAGTCAGCTCACTGCAACTTCTGCCTCTGGGGTTGATGCTGTTTTCCTGCCTCACCCTCCCCAGTAGCTAGGATTACAGGTGTGTGCCACCACACCTGGTTCATTTTTGTATTTTTAGTAGAGGCACGGTTTCGCCATGTTGGCCAGGCTGGTCTTCAACTCCTGACCTCAGGTCATCTGCCACCTTGGCCCTCAAAGTGCTGGAATTACAGGCATGAGCCATTGCACCCAGCCTCAGGAAGTCTGAGCAAGACTAGTCTGCTCACAGATGCTTGAGCCACAAGTGGGAAGGGTACACTTGTATTTTGGGCTCAAATGCTTTTCAAATGGAATACGTCTGACTAAATAAAGTGAACATGGTCCTGAACCTTCCTCACTCCAGATATGCCTGCAATCCACACCATCAAAAGAATTCAATTCCCAAGGCCAAAAAGAGGCTCTGCTGTACAGCAAAGAACTCCACAGCAAAATCGAACACTGAAATGAAGTGCCAGCATGATGCAGCCTGCTATCACCAGGAAGAATGATACGTGAGAAAACTTTTAGCAGACGCAAAAATGTCACCCCACCATGTTATTTTAAAAATATTTTATCCGGATACAAAGACGCTTCACTGTTATTAACCTACACAAGGTTAGTGTTTACCTTGAAACATAATTGCATATGGCCCTTTTCCTCTTGGATGTGTGACTTGACAAGGGTGTCTGTGCTCCGTGGCCCTTCTCCAAGCTCTAAGTCGTTATACTGACATGAAGCTGGTCAGAATGTGGTGGGATGCCACTCACCTCGGCCTTTGATAATGAGGGCGACTGCTAAGTGTGCAGTCTCTTCTGGGGACTTTCCTCTGAAAGGGGGACAATATATTGATAAAATATTAAACAGTTAAGATAATTTTTGATCTACTTGAAAAAGATTGACCTATAATATTTCACTTTGAAACTGCTATTGCTCATGCAAAAAATACTTGACTTTCATATTATATATAGTGCTCAGAATCTTTGGACTACACAAACATTCTCTAAAAGGGCAATGACTTAATTTTCTAAAGGTTAGAAATGACATCCAAAGGACAAAAGGTAACTATTTTTTTTTAATCAGTGTGGTTGGAACATTAGCAATGAGTACTGTATTCACCAATCGGATAAAGAAATCTTCCTGTGACTCCTTCACTGTACCAGACTATGGGCATGCGCATGTAGAGAAAGGCAGAAAGAGTTCTGTCAATGTCATTGTCTCTAAAATGCTTATTCTTGCCCATGTACCAGTAAATTAAATGAGACTGTGCTTCTCCAGAATAAGTCCAGTTGTATCTACTTGTTTTCGGTATGAAGGTAAGGTAGGTATGAGAATGTTCGTAACAACAGAATTACTCAATCTAGATTAGGATGCTGTGTGGCATGACCGTCTCGAATTTTGAAAGCCTGAGCTGGTTGTGGGCAAGAGCATACTCATTAATGACATAAATTTCATTTATGAAATATGCATCCATCTTCTAGTTATCTTTTTTTTTTTTTTTTTTTTTTTAAGACGGAGTTTCACTCTTGTTACCCAGGCTGGAGTGCAATGGCACGATCTCGGCTCACCGCAACCTCCGCCTCCTGGGTTCAGGCAATTCTCCTGCCTCAGCCTCCTGAGTAGCTGGGATTACAGGCACGCGCCACCATGCCCAGCTAATTTTTTGTATTTTTAGTAGAGACGGGGTTTCACCATGTTGACCAGGATGGTCTCGATCTCTTGACCTCGTGATCCACCTGCCTCGGCCTCCCAAAGTGCTGGGATTACAGGCTTGAGTCACCGCGCCCGGCCTCATCTAGTTATCTTACACATGGAGAGCTGAGTGCCTTCCTTGTATAAAAAGTAACTGAAGACCAGAAGGAAGTGGACTTTGTCCTGCAAACTGAAGCAGAGTTCCATGCGAAGAATCAGCAGGTTTTCTAGGTAGGTAATGCCGCCAGTGGAGTATTATTACAGTTCTCAAATCATGAGGGAAACAGATGGAGAAGAGGAAGGGAGGAGGGAAAATCTTGCATTCTAAGAGGCAAAACAGTCCCCATTACAATTGCAATGCTTCATTAGACAGTTGATTTTTCTGGCTGGAAGGCACGTTAAAAATAACCCTAACAATAACTTACCAAGACAATGGAAATCAAAAGAAAAGAAGGTAGAGGCACAGCTGTCTTATTAACACAACAACCAACTACCGCTGCAACAATACTCTGGAACAGAGACTAGCTCGTGTTAAAGACTGGGTATTTAGGTAAAGAGGATCTGGTGCTCTTGGTTTAGCTTCAGTGATTTTCCAGTACTGATTCAAGCCATTGCGCCCTGAACATGGAGACTGCAAATCCTCGATGTGCCAGAGATTTCAGTTGCAGAGAATTACACCAACGTCTGCTGCTGGAGTGCACCACAGGCGAGACCAGGCTCCCTGGTCCAGCTGAGTGGGGTCTTCCACGCGCTGTCCGCTGCTAAGTCAGAACGTCGACAAAGCAAACAGGAGGGAAGGAACGACTATGGCATAGCTGACTTCTTTGTCCTGGTTATGGGTCCATAATTCACATAAAAATAAATAATATGCAGTAAGTCAAAATCCGGGTTCAAATTTGTGACAAGAAAACAAAAGGACAACATCTGGGATTCTTAAGGCAAAACAGAAATCTCTAAATAGACACTTTATTAGATCCACAGGCGATAAAATCCCAGAGCCACTGTTAGGCACGTAAAGATAGACCCTGTAAGAAAAAAACAATTCAAGAATACTATTAGTGCTATTAAGAGCTACTTAAAGGAGTATCTTTTTATTAAGAAAACACACATGGCCAGGTGCAATGGCTCACGCCTGTAATCCCAACACTTTGGAAGGCTAAGGTAGGCAGATCACAGGAGTTCATGAGCAGCCTGGAGAACACAGTGAAACCCCATCTCTACTAAAAATACAAAAATTAGGTGGGCATGGTGGGGGGGACACCTGTAATCCCAGGTACTTGGGAGGCTGAGGCAGGAGAATCGCTTGAAACCAGAAGGTGGAGGTTTCAGTGAGCCAATATTGCATCACTGCACTGCAGCCTGGGCTACAAGAGCAAAACTCTGTCTCAAAAAACAAAAAAACAAGGCTGGGTGCAGTGGCTCATGCCTGTAATCCCAACACTTTGGGAGGCCAAGGAGGATCACCTGAGGTCGGGAGCTGGAGACCAGCCTGAGCAACAGGGAGAAACCCCGTCTCTACTAAAAATACAAAATTAGCCAGGCGTGGTGGTACATGTCTGTAATCTCAGCTACTTGGGAGGTGGAGGCAGGAGAATCGCTTGAACCTGGGAGGCGGCGGTTGCGGTGAGCTGAGATCTCACCATTGCACTCCAGCCTGGGCAACAAGAGGGAAACTCCATCTCAAAAACAAACAAACAAACAATCCCAAATAATTATAGTTCAATCACAGTATCTTATCAAATTTCTGATTCTATCAATTAGGAAAGTACACCATTACTTTACTACTAAGAAAGAAAAAATGCCAATTAAACTTCATCTACTGGAAATTGTAAAATGCCTTCCAATTTGAGAGATATTAAAGTATTTCGAAAAGTGTTGGAATCAATGCAGTGTCTGTCAACTTATTTTTTAAATTTATTTTCTTTTCAGGTTGATTTAAATAGATGTAAAATAGCTTACCTGCTAAATACTTAATATTATCAAGCTTGTGTGACTCAAGCATGGTTTTGAGGCCAGCAACCTCAGTTTCTATCTTCCTATCTGTCTGGGTGAGGGCCCGATCTTGCTGGGCATGCTTTTAAAACAAAGAGAGTCACAGCGTTAGACCATGGCACGTCCCCTCTGCTCTCCATCCTATAGCTCCTTCCTAACAGGGTGCAGTCACAGGGAAACCTGGCGAAGCCTGGGCTTTAGTCTCAGTTCTAAAATCCTCATGCTGCACTGCCTTTGTCAGGACCCTTCACCTCTCTAGGCCTTCGTTTTCTTCTACTTGAAAAAAATGAAAACAGAAAACAAAACAAGACTACCAAACCAGTGGCCCTGCCTTTACCTGGGCTGTATGGAGAATCAAATGCGATCATCTTTGTGAAAAAGCTTTCTGTAACTCCAGGTTGCTCTACAAATGATGTGGTATTATGAAGCCAGCCCGTTCTCAGAGGCAACGGCTATGTCTCATCCTTCTAAATCCTCCTTAGTCAAAGATATGTAGCAGTCAAAAATGTTTTCAAGAAATGGAGTCTTAGATCATCTAAAAGCAGCAGTGCTTGTCTTGAGCTATTTCTTTTTTCATGTTCACATATCAGGTGCTTCATTACTATGAGGCTTGGATACCAAGGGCCAATTCGCGCCCTTCCCCAAATACAATACAGTGAAACTGGATACATAATCAACCCTCAAAAGGCAGTGGGTTTGGCTGATGCTATACGGGGTTGTGTAACTGCAGTAATGCATAAAAACCTTGGGAATGCTTCACTAAAATTCCTAGAGCAACTAAATTGTTCCCTATGGCTACCAATTCAGGGCGAGAATAAAGAAATAATTATGCTTGGATGAGTAGAAAAGTATTCTGGAGAAACATCCCAGGATTCTAGAATTATCTCATGAAAGACTCTTGTGGGTTTCAGAGGTCGCAGGTTCCATACAGTGTGGAGAAGGAGTCATGTATGCTACCAATTAAAAATACAGTGTGACTTCTCCATTCCTCACTATTCTTCAATTACTGAGATTTAAACTTTATTAATAAAACTTCTGTCAAGAAAAACAAACTTTCCAGCAGGGCGTGGTGGCGCGCACCTGTGGTCCTAGCTACTCTGGAGGCTGAGGTGAAGGATCGCTTGAGCCCAGGAGACGAAGCTTGCAGTGAACTGAGATTGCACCACTGCACTCCAGCCTGGGCGACACAGGGAGACCCCATCTCAAAAAAAAGAAAAAGAAAAAAAAAAAAAGGAAAACCTTCATTAAGAAAGTTTAAATCTTTCATAGGATAATTATCTTTCATTAAGATAACCAAGTATTTTTTTATCTTTCATTAATATATAATTATCATTAATATATTATATTATATTAATATATTATAATATATTATATTATATTACTATATCATTAATATATATCATTAATATATTAATTATTATATTATTAATATATAACACATAATTATCATTAATATATAATTATCTTTCATTAAGATAACCAAAATCCTGTGACACTCCACTTCTGCATAAATACCCAAAAGAAATGAAAGCAGGGATCCCAACAGATATCTGCATACCCATGCCCACTGCAGCACTATTCACAAAAGCCAGTGGGTGAAAGCAACCTAAGTGTCCCTTGACAGATGAATAAATAAAATGTGGTATATACATAGAATGGAATACTCACTAGCCTTAAAAAGGAAAAGTCCGGTCATTGCAATAACATGGATGAACCTTCTGGACATTTGTTAAGTGACATAAGCCAGCCACAAAAAGGCTAACACTATGATTCTATTTATATGAGGTATGTAGAATAGTCCAATTCATAGAATAGAATCAAGGTCGCCAGGGGCTGCAAAAGGGAATGTATCAGGGGGACAGTTTCAATTTTGCAAAATAAGGAGTTCTGTGATAAAACAGTGGTGATGGTTGTCCCAAAATGTGAAAGTACTTAATACCACTATACTGTACACTTACAAATGGTTAAAATTATCATTTTTATGTTGTATGTATTTTAGCACAATGTAAAAAAATCCCATGATGGTAAACCTGCATGTAACTTCCTATTATCATTACAAGCAACCATGCACAGGATGACGCAAAGATGTGTACAATGACAGGGAAAAATCAACGTCTCATTTCTTACCAACGCCACTATTTCTGTTCTCAATTCCAGCAGCTTCTTTTCGTTCAATGAATACTGAAATAAACATGTAATACAGGTCAGATTCTGATCTACTCCCTTCTCTTCTCCTTCTCTGGTGCCTTAAATATTCTGATCTCAGTACCTCCTAGAATATGTAACACCAGAAAGTCACCTCTGGGATGAAGCAGCCTGCCTGCTTCTTTATACCTGTTATTTGAGGTTTCTTTTGTTTTTTCATAGATATGGGGTTCTGTCATGTTGCCCAGGCTGGTCTCAAACTCCTGAGCTTGAGCAATCCACCCACCTTGGCCTCCCAAGGTGCTGGGATTAGAGGCATGACCCACGGTGCTGGCTACAGTTTCCTATTTACCCTTACTCATTCCTCCAATATCTGGATTTCCTTAGTCACCTGTCACTTCTCCCTGCTTTTTTCCTCTTTTCATATCTTTGCTGTCATGTCTTTAGGTCCTTCCCACTATTGTAGCAGCACTCCCTGGGGACCAATTTAGATGGATGCTGAGTAATATGCTTTTTGGTTTTGAGAGATTGAAGATGGAGACTCAATTCAATTTAGGAGCCATCCCATCATAACTAGCAGCAAAACAGGTCACTACTTGAGGCTTAACGAAAGATAGGAAAGATACGAAGTTGGGGAAAAAATAGCTGCAAGGATTATTATTCTACAACAAAGACATTGTGTTGTGATTATAAAACACAACATAAATACACAAATACACTAACTCTTCACATGTTGGTTTTTTGTTTAAGATGGAATCTCACTGTATGTCCCAGGCTGGAGTGTAGTGGTGTGATCTCAGATCCCTGCAACCTCCACCTCCTAAGTTCAAGCAATTCTCCTGTCTTAGCCTCCTGCACATGTCGGTTTTAATAACAATTTAAAAACCCACTTGGGCATAGTCATAATCCAGTGTTACTAAAGGAACTAATTCTACCCAGAGTCAAAGTATCTCGCCTTTGGTTATTACTGTCAGTGAAAAGATTTAGGGCAGTTTTGTGGACAATAAGATTGAAATCAGACTTATTTCCTTAGTAGTGGGTAACAGGATTTAACTGAGAAAAAGACAATCTACAATTTATATGAAGACTTTTAAGATCTACATTAGCCTTGTTACAGAGAGAAAAAAATAGCTTTGAAGAATACAGAAACTTTATAGCTATAAAATGTTCTCCTGGGACTACTGGGAGATAAAGTATTTAAAAAGCACTGCTTAGAAGTAAAAAAAAGAAGAAGAAGAAGAAGAAGAAGAAGAAGAAGAAGAAGAAGAAGAAGAAGAAGAAGAGGAGGAGGAGGAAGAGGAAGAGGAGGAGGAGGAGGAGGAGGAGGAGGAGGAGGAGGAGGAGGAGGAGGAAGAGGAAGAGGAAGAGGAAGAGGAAGAGGAAGAAGAAGAAGAAGAAGAAGAAGAAGAAGAAGAAGAAGAAGAAGAAGAAGAAGGAAAGAAAGAAAGAAAGAAAGAAAGAAAGAAAAGCAAAAGCAAAAAAACCCCAAAACCCTTAGCCAGGGGTAGGTTGTAAGACCAACAATGCTCTTTAAACATCAGGCTTTCAGATCAGGAGAGTGCTATGCATCAAATCACCACTAGAGGGCGGCGTGGAACAAGATTTTGGGCACCACTAAACCTCTGTCTTCATTAACTAAACATTGACTCACCCACAAAAGAAAAGCCTAAATCTTGACACTGGCATGATTTTAAAAATAACATCTATGTAGCTCCACATCCCCATGGCCCAAAAATTTATATGCCATTCTGCTTTTGGAACTGGCTGTAAATATCACAGTTAATTTTCAATTTTTAATATAACATTTTAACTTTACCAAAAGAATGAGAGCCAAACAACTCATCTTCACCAATGCATGTTACAAACATACTAGCTGTATAATTTGCTCTGTGCTTCAGAGTAATCGAAATTTATGATTACCAAGAAAAACTTCCCAGCTAGGTTACTAAATCACATAAATTCACTGGCTTGATGGGAGCTAAGCTATGAGGATGCAAAGGCATAAGGATGGTACAGTGCACTTTGAGGACTTGGGGGGAAGGGTGGGAGGCGGATGAAGGACAAAGATTACATACTGGGTACCGTGTATGCTGCTAGGATGATGGGTGCACCAAAATCTCAGAAACCAACACTAAAGAACTTATTCATGTAACCAAATACTATCTGTTTCCCAAAAACCTATTGAAATTAAAATAATAATAATGAAACACTAAAAAAAGACTATAAGAACAATTCATGGTCACAGTTGCTGTTCAAATATACCACGAAGACACTTTTATATCATGTAGAAAAAGTTACTGTCATGATGCACAGGAATTAATTCAAACTCTGTGCACTGTTGCTTTCTGAAGATTAAGGTCAATATAAGTCGATCCAGATAAAATCATAACAGGTAAATTATATTTATCTGCATATTTAACTATTAAGTTCAAACAATTATTTTAAGTATTTTGAGTGCTGCATTATCAAATTTGCAAAATAGTATAAGCTTTACGTTTCTTATTTTATGAGAACACTGAATGGATCCACTCTATATATCCAATAACTGAAAAATATGAGTATTTAAAGAATAAAATTTCATCTTTTTTTTTTTTTTTGAGACAGAGTCTTGCTCTGTCACCCAGGCTGGAGTGCAGTGGTGCGATTTTGGCTCGCTGCAATCTCTGCCTCATAGGTTCAAGCGATTCTCCTGCCTCAGCCTCCTGAGTAGCTGGGATTACAGGTGCCTGCCACCATGCCCCGCTAATTTTTGTATTTTTAGTAGGGACAGGGTCTCACTACGTTGGCCAGGCTAGCCGCGAACTTCTGACCTCAGGTGATCCACCCACCTTGGTCTCCCAAAGTGCTGGGATTACAGGCTTGAGCCACCTCATCTGGCAGAAATTTTATCATTTTGAATGCCTTGGTTTAAAAACTAAAAATATGAAAATTTCTGGAAAATTTTTGTTTGCTAGGTGCTGTCACTGACTTAAAATGAGTAAAATTTAAATATTACATCATTGAAAAATGTACGTATCAGCCTAGTTATGTTATTAAAATGACTCCGTATAAAATAAAAAATTTACTGCCTTTAATCTACATTCATGCCCTGTATTTCCTGATGTCTTTGATGTATTTTTTCCCAGACTGGTTAGCTACAGTCAGTCATCTCCCTACATCAAGTGAATTCAGTTCTGCCTGAGTACACAACCCATGAGGATAGAAGTAACCAAGAGTTTCTCCTCTTCCAAACACCAGTCACGTGCTATAGTCATTAACTATTTAAGCAATACTAGGTGATTTAATTGTTATGGGTGGAGACTGTTGTAAGACTAGAAAGACAGGTAACACAGACATAATAATTATTTTGTATAATGAAGCTCAGATTAACTCTTGAAATCCAGTGCCAGTTCCAAAACACAAGTGGGTTACTTTTTTGAGTTTTAATATTCATGTCTTTTATCGTTAGAGCACATTTCAGTTAAAGGAAAATTGTGAAAAATGAGAAGACAACGAACAGTTGTGAGTACTCAGCTTCTGCATGTGTTTTCAGTTTTGTGTTAGTACAAGATGCTCTCTCTGCCCTATCTCATTATGCTAAGAATAAAAAAGGCACCTGATATTACCAAATCAAAATAAAGTCTGAGCAAGAAGACAGCTGAACATTCAGACAGGATTAAAAATCACTAGAGGCACCTGACACATATCTTTATTAAAACACACAACTTGTGGGCTGGGCACGTGGCTCACTCTAGTAATCCCAGCACTTTGAAAGGCCAAAGTTGGCAGATCACCTGAGGTCAGGAGTTCGAGACTAGCCTGACCAACATGGTGAAACCCCATCTCTACTAACATAAAAATTAGTTGGGCATGGTGGCGGGCACCTGTAATCCCAGCTACTCGGGAGGCTGAGGCAGGAGAATTGCTTGAACTCAGGTGGCGGAGGTTGCAGTGAGCCAAGATTGCACCACTGCACTCCAGTCGGGGCTACAAAATGAGACTCCAACTCAAAACAAAACAAAAACACAAAAGCACCCACAATTTCTCACTGTGTTTAAAAGACAACACAGAAATGTTTTAATCTTGAATTCCAGTGTATAATTTAATATTATTTAATATTAATGACTTATTATTTGTGTTTAAAAGACAACACAGAAATGTTTTAATCTTGAATTCCAGTGTATAATTTAATATTATTTAATATTAATGACTTATTATTAAAGTCTGAGATAATCAACTTAACTCTTGCAAGATCAAGACCTATGAGGATTTAAGTATTAAATAGATCAAGATTGCATTTGATTTCTTCATTAATGTCTTATATAAATATACCTAGTATTTCTGAAACAAGGATTCAAATGGACTAATCTAAGATTTTAATTTTAATGTCACTTTTGAAAGCATCAAATTTCAGTCTTAATCCAAAATTATTATAACAGAGAAAATATAGCCTAACACTGATAAACAGAAAAATATTTAACAGTACCTGTGACATGTATATAAACTTAGGCTTAACCAGGCATTACATTCCAAAAAGAAATTTAGTAAAAGAACGTACCAATTCTTTTACTCTGCTCTTTTCTAGGTTGAAGTCTAATTTGGTATCTGTTCGGACTTTGATCACTTCATCCTAAAAGGCAGGCAAACGACAAAGAAGGAGAAATCCAAAGTAAGAAATCCAAACCCTCTGAGGATGTGACGCCGGGACCACTGCCCGCCCACACTGCCACTATCCTAGGGGAGGCAGCCCAGGAAGGACAGAGCCAGGGGCTTCCAGAGAAATGGACCTACGCCTACTGGCATCAGGGAACTCTGGCGAAGCCACACCTGGAGGCAGCCTGTCCCAGAACTTCCCAGTTACACAAATAACCCCCTTATATGCTTATGCCAGTCTAGAGTGGGTTGTTGCTGCTTTTTTTGAGACAGAGTCTTGCTCTGTCACCCAGGCTGGAGTGCAATGATGTGATCTCAGCTCACTGCAACTTCTGCCTTTCAGGTTCAAGCAATTCTCCTGCCTCAGCCTCTCGAGTAGCTGGAATTACAGGCACATGCCACCGTGCCCAGCTAATTTTTAATGCCTGGCCTGTTGCTGCTTTTAACCTCAAGACTCCTCATATAATCTCTGAATGGAACTTATGAATGAAGCTGATCTTAAACAACTTTGGAAAGCAAAGATGGCCTCAAAGCAGCAAAATATGAAAATCTGGTTTACATAGAGCCTTTTCTCTGATATGCATCAAAGCCTGTTTTTAACATCCATTTTTTTCATATTTAAAAACATCAAATAACTGGCACAGTAAGCATTTAAAAATCATGCGTGATTCTTTAAAGACAGTCTAAGAGAATTTAAGGATTCCTTCCATGTGGCTACTTTAGAAAATCCTTGACTTAAAAATGACTTAATTCCGGCCCGGTGCAATGGCTCACGCCTGTAATCCCAGCACTTTGGGAGGCTGAGGTGGGTGGATCATCTGAGGTCAGTTCAAGACCAGCCTGGCCAACATAGTGAAACCCTATCTCTACTAAAAATGCAAAAATTAGTCAGGCGTGGTGGTGGGTGCCTGTAATCCTAGTTACTTGGAAGGCTGAGGCAGAAGAACTGCTTGAACCTGGGAGGTGGAGGTTGCAGTGAGCCGAGATCGTGCCATTGCACTCCAGCCCTGGCAGCAAGAGCGAGACTCTGTCTCAAAAAAAAAAAAAAAAAAAAAAAAAAGACTTAATTTCTCCTAGAATACAGTTTTCTTAATGAATATGGTTATAGACAACAATAATTCATTCATTGACTGTGTTCTTAATCTTTCAATGTGCACTTTTGAGGCACATTGCACAAACATTTCACATAGGATTAGGTTTTTAAAAACATTTCTCATATATTTATTAATAAGTTTATATAATTACAAACAAGCCAACAGGAAAGTGAATCTTACCATTACTTGTTGTTTTAACTGATGTAGTTCGAGTTTTATTTTCTACAAACACATTAAAAAAAGACGTCTTTAGAAAGTTAGAACAGCATAAAATGCAGTAATCAACAAATATTACAACATGTATTTATGCACAAGTTCTTCAAGTTTTTCCTTCATTCAGAACACTTGTACTGACTGCAGAATGGCATTATAACACATACATCTTGAAATCAGTTTTAATTCATCCTGAAGGCTAAAGTTATCCCAGTTGTATTTGGCATACACATTTGCCTTCAGTGACCCTGCTTTATTTAGTACCTCCTTCAGTTTATCTTTCCACTAATTCTGCCCTCAAATAACTGATTTCAAGGACAACCTAGAGAGTTGGAAACTTTACCACTTTACTTTTTGCTAGAAGGTTTTTTAGGAGGCTAGGGTCAACAGGCAATAAATGGCCTTCCCTATGGGACTTTAAATCGGACTGAAAATAAAAGGAAGATGCATAGAAAGCACCTATTTAAATGCTCATCCCTTATGCTCTATGTAAAGAAACAAAAGAGAGATTTTGCAGCAGCAATTATTCAAAATAACCCAAAACTGGAAACAATTCTAATGTACATTACAATAGAACGATGGGGCATATTCATGTAAGACTACAGACAATGAAAAAAATGATCTCTTGCTACAAGACACACAGCATGATTCCATCAAATGGTTCCAGAACAGGGGAAACTAGTCAGTGGTGTTATCAGCCAGGACAGCATTTCCTCTGCAGGGGGTGGGGGGTGGAGGGGAGCAACCGAGAGGCATTAGAAGAACTTCTGCGACACTGGTCAAGTTTCCCTGCTTGATCTGACCAGACGTGTACACTTGATGAAAATTCACTGAGATGGACACTTAAGTGTGCTCTTTTGTGTGTGTATATTTCATCTCAATGTCTTAATATAATGAATCATCTAAGTGTGAGAAGCTCTGTTTTACCTCATTTTCGGCTCTCAGGGCTGAAAATTCACTCTTCTCCAAAATAATCATATCCTTTTTCACATTCGCAATCTGCGACATTATTTGCTGAAGAGTGATCTCCTAGGAAAAGAAAAACAAAACACATAATCTAGTCTACCCTAAAAAGTCCACTTCTATCATCTCAATGTGCTATCTTCTTATTGAGAAACCAGGAGAATGCGGATAAAATAAGAAGGTGAGTAAGATCATTCTCTATTCCAAAAGGGGAGAAGGAAAAGAAGAAAAGCACATTATCTTGCCAGGCGAGGTGGCTCACACCTGTAATCCCAATACCTTGGGAGGCCAAGGCGGGTGGATCGCTTGAGCCCAGGAGTTCAAGACCAGCCTGAGCAACGTCATAAAAACCCTATCTCTACAAAAAATACAAAAATTATCCAGCTGTGGTAGTGCACACCTGTAGTCCCAGCTAACTGGGATGCTGAGGTGGGAGGCTCATTTGAACCCAGGAGACGGAGGCTGCAGCGAGCTGAGATTGCACCACTGCACTCCAGCCTGAGCGACAGAGTGAGATCTTGTCTCAAAAAACCCTCCAAAACCCCACATATCTGGTTATCGTTACCAAGTGAATCACGGTTAAAAGGGTGGTGGTCTGACGCCTTGTGAACATGATGCTATAATATTATAATTCAGGTCCATCTCCACTTATTAGTTTCACTGAAATGATTTTTAACAGTGAGCTTTGAAGCCTAATGGTCCTAAAATTGACTAAATAGCTCTGAGTTAATTTTTGTTTGTTTGTTTGTTTTTTGAGACGGAGTTTCACTCTTGTTACCCAGGCTGGAGTACAATGGCGCGATCTCGGCTCACCGCAACCTCTGCCTCCTGGGTTCAGGCAATTCTCCTGCCTCAGCCTCCTGAGTAGCTGGGATTACAGGCACGCACCACCATGCCCAGCTAATTTTTTCTATTTTTAGTAGACACGGGGTTTCACCATGTTGACCAGGATGGTCTCGATCTCTTGACCTCATGATCCACCCACCTCGGCCTCCCAAAGTGCTGGGATTACAGGCTTGAGCCACCGCGCCCGGCCAATATTTTTTTATGCCACTGTAATCTTTTGCCTCTTAATCATGGTAAAAGTTACTATATACTTTCCAACTATTATCCAGCAAATTACATTAAAACATTACTACAAATAATACCCCATCTTCACCGTCCTAACTTGCTAACCCACCCAACAAGGCTAACCTGCTGCATTTTGGTGACCATATCTTTGTAGACGATGTCCATGTTGGCCTCCAGGATCTTGACCAATGCAGACACAATGATTTCTGCTTGTTGAGTAGCAAACCCTAAGTAAGCACACAAACAAAAAAATCATGTTTAGAGCTACAAAAGCCCACAGCAAACACATACATTCATGTGAATGTCTGGATCTGGGAGCAGGGGTATGGCACAGTGTGGTAGGAGGTGGGGAGGAGGGCAGAGCCACAGACTATGACGTTTCCGTCACTCAGAGCAAGCACAAAATATCCAAGCTGGCTTCCCCAGGTACCAGTGGCTTTGCTGACTGATGATCTCTAATGTCCTTCCTAGCTATCAAAAGTCATATTTTCAGAGACTGTTTAGAAACATAGACAATGCAGGCAAGTCAATGTCAAGTGAAAAAAAGCAAGACCCAAAATTACTGTTTTTATAATTCAACAAAGATTCATAGTAATTTTTATTCTCCTCTTTTTCTCTGAATTATGTAGATTTTCTACAGTGGACAATATCTCTTTAATTTTAGAATGTGTATGTAATTAAAAAATAATTGCCTTAAATAGGAAAGCTCAGCTCTTTTACGTCCAGCATAAGGCAGTCAAATCATTGACTATATAAACAGTAATATAGCTGATGGCTAACTTACTTAAAAGACAAAATCAGGGCCAGGCATGGTGGCTCACGCCTGTAAATCCCAGCACTTTGGGAGGCTGAGGTGGGAGGATCACGAGGTCAGGAGTTTGAGACCAGCCTGACCAACATGGAGAAACCCCATCTCCACTAAAAATACAAAATTAGCCAGGCATGGTGGCACATGCCTGTAATCCCAGCTACTCAGGAGGCTGGGGCAGGAGAAACGTTTGATCCCAGGAGGTGAAGGTTGCAGTGAGCCAAGACTGCGCCATCCAGCCTGGACAACAAGAGTGAAACTCCGTCTCAAAAACAACAAAACAAAACAAAATCATTTCTTGCATTTTTCCTCCACAATTCTCTTCAGTAACTAGTCTGGGTGACCCAAAGTGGAAAAAAATATGTCCTTTGATAGTCAATAAATGATACTGAACTGAATGAAAGAGATTCAATGCAGTACTTGGTATTGTCTTTAAAAACGCTAAATAACAATTCATATTTCACATCTTTTTTTTTTTTTTTTTTTGAGACGGAGTCTTGAACTGTCACCCAGGCTATAGTGCAGTGGTGCAATCTTGGCTCACTGCAATCTCTGCCTCTGGGGTTCAAGGAATTCTCCTGCCTCAATCTCCCAAGTAGCTGGGACTACAGGCATGCACCACCACACCCAGTTAATTTTTTTGTATTTTTAGTACAGATGGGGTTTCACCATGTTGGTCAGGAGGGTCTCAATATCCTGACCTCGTGATCTGCCCGCCTTGTCCTCCCAAAGTGCTGGGATTACAGGTTTGAGCCACTGCGCCTGGCTGTATTTCACATAAATTTTAATTAAATGCTTAAATCTGAGTGCCTGGAAAATGTTCTATTAAATACTTCCAGCTATAAGAATTTCAGAAGAATCTATTGATTCCTGTAATTAATTGTGTATTTTTTGGAATAAACTTAATTAATGGAATCTGGATGAGATGAAGCATGGGACTATAATTAACAAAAAAAACAAAGACACAGATTTAAAGGAGAAGGAAAAAACCTCCAAAGACCTATTCCCATGACTTTAATCAAAAGCCTTTAATTTTCCAACATGTGTCATGCACATGTCTAGGAAAAAAATAGAAAAGGCTACCCACCAAAATGTTAACACTGCTTAGCTCTGAATCTGTTTTCTTTCTTCTTGTCTGTCTTCCTAATTTTCAAAAACTCAATCTAAACTTCTGCAAATTTTAAAACTTTATTAAGAGTTCAAGGGCTGGGTATGGTGGCTCATGCCTCCTAACACTTTGGGAGGCCAAGGTGGGAGGATCTTTGAGCCCAGGAGCTCAAAACCAGCATGGGCAACATAGTGAGACCTCATCTCTATTTTAACCTAAATAAAAATTTTAAAAAATTTTAATTAAAAAAAAAAAAGTTCATCTTTAAACATAATTAGGTTTGGTGGCCAGACATGGTGGCTCACACCTGTAATCCCAGCACTTTGGGAGGCCGAGATGGGTGGATCACTTGTGGTCAGGAGTGTGAGACCAGCTGGCCAACATGGTAAAAACACGTCTCAAGGAAAAATACAGAAAAATTAGCCGGGTGTGGTGGTGGATGCCTGTAATCCCAGCTACTCAGGAAAATGAGGTGGGAGGATCACTTGAAACCGGAAGGTGGAGGATGCAGTAGGCCAAGACTCTGCCACACTGCACTACAGCCTGGGTGAAAAAGTGAGACTGTCAGAAAGGAGAAAGGAGAGGAGAGGAGAGGAAAGGAAAGGAAGAAAGAGAAAAAGAAAGGAAGAAAGAAAGAAAGAAAAGAAAGAAAAAAATAAATGGTTTGGCAATGACGAGGAAAAGAAAAAGACAGAAAGAGAACTGATGCTGATTGTAAAACAAACTTTAAAGCCATATACTTTATAACCACCTGTGAGAAGAGAAAGGGATGAGAAAAAGAGGAAGCTTGAAAACCTATGAGTTATGAGACAAACATTAGTTTTGCAGACATGAGGGAATAGGACAGAACCAGGTGAGTGAGATCACGGGCACATGAGAAGTTGTGTTAATCTGAAGACACGGGGTAAATATGCCTTGAAAAGTCCTTCCTGGCCTCAACTCAGCCAGTCATCTCAGACACCCCCCCACCCATGTTGGACTGAACAGCCCCTCCCTACTGCAGTGCAGCCCTCACACCATGGTCTTGAAAGGAGCAAATAACCATGGCTCAAGGTTTAAAATCAAGAAAAGCAGGAAGACTTCTGCTTCTCAGGATTTTTTTTTTTTTTTTTTTGGTAGAGACAGGGTCTCACTACATTGTACAGAGTGGTCTTGAACTCCTGGGCTCAAGTGATCTTCCTGCCTCAGCCTCCCAAAGTGCTGGGATTACAGGTATAAGCCACTTCACCTGGCCTTATCAGGGTAACTTTACGTGCTCCCCTCTCACTTCTATTTTTCTCTTTTAAATTCTGAACTGTAAGAAGTTTTGGTGAAAAAAACCTACTATTTGACAGGAAAAGCTGTGAAAAGTATTACATAGCATATGACAGTTTTTCCAAAGTTCATTCATGCACATTATCTTGTTTAATATTCAAAAAGATCTTTGGAATTCTTATTGCACTCGTACTACAGATGGGCAAACGGAAACTGAGAAGCGGGAAAAGGCTTCCTAAGCTTTGCTGCTAGAAGTCTGCAGAATTAGGCTTGAGCCCACGGCTGCCCTCTCCCCAAAGCGCAGACTAATTCATTCCATCACTTTGTCTTAGGCATGTAAAGCACCTCTACAGAGAGCAGCTTTTCTGATATGAACATGTACAACCGGACAAGTAACTACACAATGAAGTAAAAACACAGGCAAATTTATTTCACAAGCATAATCAACACTATTTTGAAATTCTGATTTTTGAGAATGTGTCACCATATAGAGAATTAAAATTCGTGTATTTGTCTAAATGTGATTTAGTACGAGAATGTTCCCTACATTCTAAGTGCATTTTCAATGAACACCAAATATACCAGAGCAATCTTTTAACAGCAATAAGGGAGAATGTTAGCTTGAATATTAAAAAGAAAAAAGAACAGTAAGTTGAGATTATCAAAAACTACTACTTGGCAACATTTCAATTTCAGAGGATTTTTAAACGTACAGAAGATGCAGAGTAATAAAACGATCACTTCTGTGCTTCAGACACTGTTCTCATACAAATCATTCCTCAGCTTTGCTGACTTGTGTCTAAATTTTTAACTGTAACACTGTACTTCCATGGTGATGCTACAGAAATACACTTCACTTGGACAAAGAGACAGTGTGTGAGAAGTCTCCATTGTATTGATGAAGCAAAAATGTCCTTAAGTAAAAAATGAGGACTTAAAAAATGGAGATTGGCCGGGCGCGGTGGCTCAAGCTTGTAATCCCAGCACTTTGGGAGGCCGAGGCGGGTGGATCACAAGGTCGAGAGAGCGAGACCATCCTGGTCAACATGGTGAAACCCCGTCTCTACTAAAAATACAAAAAAATTAGCTGGGCATGGTGGCACATGCCTGTAATCCCAGCTACTCAGGAGGCTAAGGCAGGAGAATTGCCTGAACCCAGGAGGCGGAGGTTGCGGTGAGCCGAGATCGTGCCATTGCACTCCAGCCTGGGTAACAAGAGCGAAACTCCGTCTCAAAAAAAAAAAAAAAAAAAAAAAAAAAAAAATGGAGATTGATCAAAAGATGACCCATAGGCTTAAAAGTCAAAGAGGTATAAAAATTAGCCAGACATGGTGGTATGTGCCTGTAGTCCCAGCTACTAAGGAGGCTGAGGTGGGAGGATGGTTTGAGCCTGGGAGGCAGGTTACAATTAGCCAAGATTGCGCCACTGTAATCCAGCCTGAGCAACAGAGCCAGACCCTGTCTCTAAATAAAACAAAATACAAATAAAAAATAAAAGTCAAAAGAAATAGGAGAAATTAAATGAAACCACAAGAGAAGTCATAATTTATAGAGTTTTTCTAAGGCGCTAAATGACGAATGAGAGGATTACCATTGTCTTCCAGTAAGCACACTAAGGCATGAGTGTCAAAGTAGAGCTTCCTACTCCCAGAAGAGGTGAAATCTCTCCTTTTGCGCTCCAGCTGCAGACATCCAGCAGACAGGCTTAGTTCTAGGGTGGAAAAGACAGTAAACTCGAAACATACTTAATGCAAAACAAAAGCAACTCAGCACCCTGAGAAAGTAAGGCATATCCCAAAGCCTACCTGGTACTTTGTAAGTTTCACTGAGACATACAATTCACCCAATTTCAAGTATACAATTCAACAGGTTTTGGCACAGAATTGTGCAACCACCCAACAATCAACTTTAGAATATTTTCCTCACTCTCAAGACAAACTGTAGCCCTTAGCTGTCACCTCCAATTCCCCCAGCCCTGCCCCACTGACCCCAACCACACTCAGGACAAGCACTGATCTATCTGCTGTCTCTTGTTTACCTACTCTGGAGATTTCATAGACACGGAATCATATAATATACAGTCTTTTGTGACTGGCTTCTTTCACTTAGCATGTTTTCAAGGGTCATCCATGTAGCAGCACGTGTTAGCACTTTTATTTCTTTGCTGAATAGTCCTCCATTGTATAGCCATATTAAATTTTATCCATTTATCAAAGGACACTAGGGTTGTTTCTACTTCTTAGCTATTATGATTTATGTGGACGTTATGTTTTCAATTATCTTGAGTATATACTTACAAGTGGAACTGCTGGATCAAATGATAACTCTACGTTTGTTTCAGCAACTGCCAGACTGTTTTCCAAAGACGCTATACCATTTTACATTCTCTCTAGCAGTGCACAAGGGTCCCAATTTCTCCATATCCTCACCAACCCTTGCTATTATCTGGGTTTTTTAAAAAATTAGTTACTCCAGTGGGTGTCAAGTGGTATCTCACTGTGGTTTCAATTAGCATTTCCCTGACGACTAATGATGTTGAGCATCTTTTTATAGGCTTGTTGACCGTTTGAATACCTTCTGTAGAGAAATGTGTATTCAAGTTAGCTATGGTTTGAACGTGTTCCCCACAGTTTATGTTTTGAAAACCTACTTCCCAATGCAACAGTGTTGAGAGGTTGGTCTTTTAAGAGGTGATTAGGCCATGAGGGCTCTGTTCATGAACGGATTAATGCTGCTATCTTGGGGGTACGTTTCTGGCAAAAGAATGAGTTTGCCTTCCACCATGTTATGAAGCAGCAAGAAGTCCCTGGCCAGATACTATGATGGGTCCCTCAATTCTGAACTTCCTAGCCTCTAGAACTGTAAGAAATACATCTCTTTTCTTTATAAATTACCAGTCTGTAGCATTCATTCCCTTATAGCAGCACAAAAGCACAAAACAGACTAAGACAAAGTCCTTTGCCTACTTTTTTTTTTTTTTTTTTTTTTTTTTTTGAGACAGAGTCTCACTCTGTTGCCCAGGCTGGAGTGAAATGGCACAATCTCAGCTTACTGCAACCTCAACCTCTGCCTCCCAGGTTCAAGCAATTCTCCTGCCTCAGCCTCCTCAGCAGCTGGGACTACAGGCGTGCACCACCATGCCCAGCTAATTTTTGTATTTTTAGTAGAGACAGGGTTTCACCATGTTGGCCAGGATGGTCTCAATCTCTTGACCTCATGATCCGCCTGCCTCGGCCTCCCAAACTGCTGGGATTACAGGCGTGTGCCACTGTGCCCCATGCCTTTACCTCTTTTTAATAGGGTTGTCTTCAGATTACTGAATTATAAGAGTTCTTTACATATTCTAGATACAAGTTCCTTATCTGATTATGATTTGAAAACATTTTCTCCCATTCTGTGGGTTGTCTTTTCACTTTTTGATACTGTCTTTTGAAACACACAAGTTTACTTTTTTTTCTTTTTTTTTTAGAGACAGGGTCTCGCTATGTTGCCCAGGCTGGAGTGCAGTGGCTATTCACAGGCGCGATCCCACTACTGATCAGCACGGGAGTTCTGACCTGCTCCGTTTCTGACCTGGGCCGGTTCACCCCTCCTTAGGCGACCTGGTGGTCCCCCGCTCCCAGGAGGTCACCATATTGATGCCTAACTTAGTGCGGACACCCAATCGGCATAGTGCACTACAGCCCAGAACTCCTGGGTTCAAGCGATCCTCCCACCTCAGCCTCCAGAGTAGCTGGGACTACAGCCACGTGCCACCACGAGTGGCACAAGTTTACTTTTGATGAAGTCCAACTGATCTGTTTTTTTGTTTCTTGTGCTTTTGATACGTAAGAAACCACTAGGTAATCCAAGTACACGAAGATTTACACCCATGTCTTCTAAGAGCTTTACAATTTTAGCTCTTACATTTAGGTCTCTGACTCATTTTGGAGTTAGGGTTTTAAATGGTGTGTGGTAGTGGGTTCAGCTTCATTCTTCTCCATGTGGCTGTTTAGCTGTCCCAGCACCATTCCCTCCACTGAACCGTCTTGCCCCTCTTGTTGAAATCAGTGAGCTGTAAGCATGAGGGCTTGTGTCTGGGCTCTCCATTCTAATGCATTGATCTATATGTCTGTCCTTATGCCAGTGCCGCATTTTCTTCATTACTTTTAAGTTTGTTTTAAGTTTGACATCAGGAAGTGTCTTTTTTGGTTGTTGCTCTTGATTTTTTTAAAGACAGGGTCTTGCTCTGTTGCCCAGGCTGGAGTGCAGCGGTGCAATCATAGCTCACTACAGACTAGACCTCACCCTCCCAAGGTGTGGGTTTTAAACTTTATTGTTTATCAGGGCTGTTTGACTATTCTGGTTTTCCTGGGCTTCCATGGGAACTTTAGGATCCTTGTGTCAATTTCTACAAGAAAAGCACTTGGGATTTTGATAGGGATTGTGTTAAATTTGTAGATCAGTTTGAGAAGTACTGCCACTTTAATACTAAGTATTCAGATCAATGAACATGGATGTCTTTCCATTTATTTAGGAACATTATACTTTAATGTACATTATACTTTAAGTACTTTGCACTTTTTATATGTTGCTGGATTTGGCTTGCTAGTGTTTTGTTAAGGAGTTTCTCATCTTTAATCATAAGAGGTATCAGTCAACAGCATTTTTTCTTGTAATGTCTTTGCAAAAACCTATCTTTAGAGAGCTACGTTCTAACAATTTTTATATTACCATTTTTATACATTTTTGTGCATTTAGTCACAGATCTCATCCATTTTGTAAACTTCTTGTTTCAAGGTACTCATCTGAGAGAGGCAGTATACTACATGGTACAGTTTCTTAGCTTTTGGATTTTATGAATTGCTAAAGTCACTAAAAAAAAAATTGGGCCAGGTGAACTAGTTTATGTTTGTAATTCCAATACTTTGAGGTCAAAGTGGGAAGATCACTTGAGGCCAGGTATTCAGGATCAACCTGGACAACATTGCAAGACCTCATTTCTGAAAAATAAAAAAATAAAAAGAAGTCCTAGCTACTCACAGCTACGTGGGAGGGAGAGGCAGGAGGATGGCTTGAGCCCAGGAGTTTGAGGTTGCAGTGAGCTATGATCGCACCACTGCACTCCAGCCTGGGTGACAAAGCAAGGGCCTGTATCTAAAAAATATATATTGGAACAATATTTGAGTCGCCAATTTTTAATCTTATCATGAAAGAACATTTAAATATAGCTGCTTACTACTGCTATTAAATATATACTAAAAAAGACATTATGACACTGAAAGAAAAAAAAAAGACGAACAATCTAAAGAACTTCCATTTAATCAACTTAGTATAGGAGAATCTTGTCACATATTTGTCATTACTTTTCTAATGCTGCCATAAACTGGCACCAGTCTGAGGTTTGCTGTTGCAGAAGAATGGCAGGAGCAAGAAGGGTCACCTGCCAACTCAAAGGTCAAAAGTTTCCCCAGCAGGCCTCTGAATAACCAGAAAGGTGCTCCAGCTTCTACTCTCAGTCCTTCACCCCTAATTACTCCTTAACAAAATCGAGAGTAAACAAAAATGTGATGTAGACTGAACCCTACACATCTGATACTTCGCTGCAGCCTACGCAAGTCCTCCCCAGCCTACTCCCAACTTGGGAAGACGATGGTAGTTGTGGTCATTGCAAGCATCAAGATGAGCGCAAGAAATGCAATAATCCATATGTGTATCAAGAACCATTTGCAGACTGACAGAATATAAAGTGCAATGACTTGTGTGTGTTTGTTGGTAAAACTGGGCCCTTAGATTCAAAGAACTTGACCTGGCATACAAAGCCCTTGCTATTTATGACCACGCTTATCCTTTCAGCTTTCTTTCTAGCTACCTAAGCTATTCTATTTCCTACAATTGCATGCTTAGGCATGGCTTGCTCCTCTTTCCCAACTGTTAAACTTTAAGCATTCTTTTTACCCTTCTTTATTAAACTGCCAATTTACTGAGTATACATTATGTTCCAGGTGTGGCATTTTGGGGTTTTTTTTTAACACTTTATGGTTCTCTCTGCTTCCTCCACCCAGATAAGGGAGCAACCTTGATTGCTCCCATACCTGTCTTCTCAGCTCAGTACAGACAGCTCCTCACAGCACTTACTACATTATATCCTCACCTGTATCATGTATTTGTCTAAGCTGCCCAGGAGCAGCCAGTCTTGCTCCTTTTTTATCTTTAGCATTTGGCAAAGGGCCTGGCATACAGCAGGCTAGGAATAATTTTTTTTTTTTTTTTTGGTAATTGAACTGTAATGACTTCTACGATCTGGATTATGAGACTGTCTAGAGGGAAATTTTGAGATGAACTCCTTTGTCCTCAGTTCTTCCCTTTTCACATAAATGAGCTCCCTTAAATCTGGTACCTCTTTTTTAGTTTATTTCCAGTCCTGATACTAAATCTGGCCTCCGTGAGAAAAGAACCAGGTTGTCTGCCCAACACAGAAGGGGCGTAGCTTGAGAAACAGTGGGAGCGAATGAATGAAAACACTTCTCTAGGCAACCTGTTAAGAACCACCTCACCTGCCCTAGAATGCTACTGGACTGTCCCATGCATCAGGGGACTTGAAAACACCCGAGTCTGCAATGGCTTGTGGAGAGTGACAGGGTTACTCTAGACCCAAATTCCTTGTTTCTAGTAAGAAAACAATCATCCATGTATTTAAAACGTAACCTCTTCACCCCCACCCCCACATAAAACAACCACATGACTACTTTGTAACGCCAATTTGGATACTATATAAACTTTTTGTTTTTGTTTTTTGAGACAAGAGTTCACTCTGTCACCCAGGCTGGAGTGCAATGGTGTGATCTCCACTGACTGCAACCTCCACCTCCTGGGTTGAAGCAATTCTCCTGCCTCAGCCTCCCAAGTAGCTGGGATTACAGGCACCTGCCACCTTGCCCAGCTAATTTTTGTAATTTTAGTAGAGACAGGGTTTCACCATGTGTTAGTCAGGCTGGTCTCCCAACTCCTGACCTCAGGTGATCCGCCCACCTTAGCCTCCCAAAGTGCTGGGATTACAGGCATGAGCTACCTCGCCCTGCCTTTTTGTTCTTTTTCAAAAAGACTGGCACCAGAAACAGCAAGCTTATTTCCAAGAAATACTGCCTCTGAAAAGTAGACAAAAGGTCTGGCCACTTCCCAGTGGGCACTCCAACCCCTGCTGAGGGGAGGAAATGCCCTCTTGCCTTCTGTCAAAGGGCAGTATGTGAGGACGCAGCCAACTCCTGGACTCCTCACTGATCATCAAGAAGCAAGTCAACTGAGCTGTGTTAACGTGTAACATGGAATTTCCCTTTCTGAGGACCTTCAGCATACCAAGAGGATATAAAAAACCCAAGATTGGCCGGGCGCGGTGGCTCAAGCCTGTAATCCCAGCACTTTGGGAGGCCGAGGCGGGTGGATCACGAGGTCAAGAGATCGAGACCATCCTGGTCAACATGGTGAAACCCCGTCTCTACTAAAAATACAAAAAATTAGCTGGGCATGGTGGCATGTGCCTGTAATCCCAGCTACTCAAGAGGCTGAGGCAGGAGAATTGCCTGAACCCAGGAGGCGGAGGTTGCGGTGAGCCGAGATAGCGCCATTGCACTCCAGCCTGGGTAACAAGGGCGAAACTCCGTCTCAAAAAAAAAAAAAAAAACCCAAGATTACAATACAGGCCCAAAGTTAGCCATGGACAGATGAGGAAACCAAATACAATCTTCCTACTCGTGACATCCTTAAGCAGCCCAACTGAGAACCTCAGGCACCAAGCAAACAAATGGGTGGGAAACTCTCATTAGTTGTTAATGAGCATACACGCTTCCTTTAACTGTGTCTCCACTCTGCTTCCATTTTTATGCATCCATACTCATCTTTTATGATGACTGAAGAATGAGGTTGCTGACACTACACAGTACCACCTTACCGACTGATCAGCAAATCCATGAGAAAGAACACTCGCTTTTTGCCCCATACTCTTGTACTGAGAGAAAAACAAATTGGAAATTACCAGCTTGTCAGAAAAAGCACAACAAAAGGCAAAATACAGAAATAAAAACCAAACTCATCTCTGACTCCTAATTACTGAAGTACATGGACACCGAGTTCACCACTCATTCCCCACTCTCCGTATATAAAGTTTCTTCACTTTGTGACTCTAATGAGTATTTTCCCCGGCCAACGATATTCTTAAATTTTAGATGCTGTCAACATTTACCGGGCCTATGTGTTGAAGAAAATATGAAAAAGGCGTGGTTAATGATGGCTACTAATGAATATGTATAGACTGTTCAGAGTGATAATTCTGCCAAATTTGTTGACTGTACTGATATTTTTCTTTCATCAGCAATTTGCTATGTAGTAAGTTGAACCTGTTTACTTTCCTCATCTCCAGGGTAGTGATCCCTCTCACCTCCTTTAAATAGTCATGTGCCTCCCAACTACCTTTCATCGCAGGACAGAGGGCACACACGACAATGGTCTATGAGACCAGAACACTTATTTTTACTGGACTTCTTCTGCATTAAATACGCAAATACCATTGTGTTCAGCCTGCCTCTAGTATTCAGTAGAGTGACATGCTGTTCAGGTTTGTAGCCTCGGAGCACTGGGCTATCTGATAGTCTAGTGTGTAGTAGGCTGTAGCATCAAGGTTTGTGTAAGCACACCCTACGATGTTCACACAAGGAAGACATCACCTAATGACTCATCTCTCAGTAGGTGACTGTCCTGAAGGGATGCATGACTGCATTTAATTAAATGCCACCTTCTCAATGAAATCGATTCTAATCACACTATTTAAATTCACACACAACTGGAGACCCATTTCACTTCCCAAGCCTTATCCTATTTTTTCCTATACCATTTATCAAATTATGAATATATAAAAATAATATATAAATTACATATACATAAATTATTCATACATATATATCCACACACATATTTACTGCCAGAATTAAGCTCCAGAGGGAAAGGATTTTGTGGACTGATATACCACACCCCACACACCTAGAAAAGCGCCAGGCACAGGGTAGACGCTAGGACTCCACGAACGAATTAAGGATTCCATTAAATCTGAAGTCTAACTGTAGAGCAATCCCTTCATTTCCCGGAGTGCTCCTCAAACATGCAGCCACCTGCACACCCCTTTCCCCTGAGCTGCCATCAGGCTGGGCGCTGCCAAACAGAACGCCTGGAAGGCGGCGCCCAGAGGCGGACCCTAGGAGTGGGCGGGTACACCTCCCCGCCTCAGCAGGCACCTCCCTCCAACTTCAGCGCCCGGTAACGTGCGCCTGGGATTCTCCGGAATTCGTCTCTTCTCCTCTAAGCCCGGCCATCGCGGCCGAGCAGCGCGGGCCCGGACTTTCACCCCACGCGCCGGGCAGATGCCGATGCCCTCGGCTGACCCGCCCTCTGGCTCGCCGGGCCTTTCCTCCCGGAGGCTGTAGGCGAGGTCCCCGCCCCGCCGCCCAGCCCCGCGAGACGAGTCTCCTTCTCCTCCCGCGCCCGGGCCTCACCTCTCCTGCTGGAAGCGAGTGCGAGCGCCGTGCCATTGCACGGGGGAAGGGCGCCGACGGCAGCAGCTACACGCGGGGCGAGGCCCGGCGGGCACCTCCACACGCCGCTGCGCCCGGCCAGGGGTGCCGCGTGTCCGAGGCGTGAGCGCTCCCAGTCCCCGAGCGGCCGGCGCGGGGTGGCGGCGGCCCAGCGCGGAGAGGGCACGAGCAAGAGGAGGAGCAGCGGGGAGGCACGTGACACGCCGCCGCGGGCCGCCGGGGGGCGAGGGCGCAGCGCCCCCGGACCGCCGGGGAGCGCGGAGAGGCAGCGGCGTGCCGAGGTTCCGGGGTCGCCCGGTCTTCCTTCTCTGCGGCCCGCGGGCGGGAAGAACAGGAGCCGGCGGCGGCCGGGCGGGCGCTCGGTCCTCTGACGCCCGACGGAGCGGCAGTCCATCCCAGAGCCGGTCACTGGCCCGGGCGCGCGCTCATGCCGCTCCCGTGCGGCGTCGGGCGCGCGCGATCCCGGCCCAGAGTCCGAGGGCGGGAGCGAGCGTAGGCGGCAGCGCGGGCCCGCCCTTTCCTGCCGGGCGTGCGGGCGGGGCTCGGGGCGCGCGCCGGGGGCGGGTCGGGTGAGATCCCGCGGTGGCGCTCTCGGACGTGGTGGCGCTCCGGGACGCGGAGCCGAGCCTAGGTGGCTTGTCTCGGGGCGCTGCGGAGACCGTGCAAGCCCCCGGCCCGCTCGCTAGGCGACGGCGGGGACCGGGAGGAGCCTGCGGGCACTCCGGAAAGGGAAGAAGCTTGTTGCTGCCACGATTTGCATATTCACTGCACTGCTGTCCTTAAAAAGGAATTACTCACCCTGGCGCCCTTCAGAGTCCTTTGAAAGGTCCCTGACCAACAGGCTGCCCGAGATTTCACTGATTATCCTCGTCCTAAGTCCCTCAGCATGTGGCTCTGGGATGCACTTTAAGGAATTATTAGCAGGGCTCAGGGAAAGGCACTCACATAATACATTCAAAACTGAACTTACATAGCTTTTGTTTCCAGGTTAGAGCACCAAAAACAGGAGAAGTTCGCAATCTGGGAACTTAAAACGTGGGGCATGAATGTTAAAATGACACTTGCCGGTATATTTGAAACTAAAAATGTTTAGATTCGTGGGACTTTTTGAAAGCCTATTCCACAATGTCAGATAACTAGTCCCTCATGGTGAACTTGGAAGATGTTGAAAGAATAAATGAAATGCATAATGCACCAAGCTAGGAGATTTAAAAATAAAAACCCCAAAACAAATTGTTCATAAGCTGTTTTCCTATATGGCCATATGCATACACATATGTGATGGAAGAAGAATGTGTTAAGAGCCATGAGAGATGTACAAAGTGCTGCGAAGATAGGATAGTGAGCATGGATGTGAAAGATAAGTGTCTATCAAAATTTGAAGAAGTAAAAAATAATAGGATTCAAGTCATAGGTTGGTGCAAAACTAATTGCGTTTTTTGCCATTCCTTGCAGTGGCAAAAGCCGCAACTACTTTTGCACCAACCTAGTAGACACTTTGCAAAAAGGAGGATACATTTATAAAACTGGTAGGAAAAGCAATTTAGCAATAAATATCAACAAAAAATTAAGTCACCTAACTAAAAATGGGGATAATGGGAATAATCCAAAATATTAAAAATCTACTAGGTTGGACCATACAAACATCATTTTTATGGGTCAAAATGTTTAATATTGGTAATTTCATATATGTACAAAAGATAGTCAATGTATTATAATTTGTGATTGTCAAAAAGTGGGAAAAACTAGTGTACAACCTTAGGGTAACAATTCATTAAACTGGCACAAACTTTAATGTTAGTCCTTTGTAATTTTTTAAAATTGAGGTATAATTTGCATACAATAAAATCTACAGACCTGTGTGTTCAACTTGATGACATTTATCAGTGTGTGCACCACCCAATCAAGATCTAGAACATTTTTATTGCTCCAGAAAGTTCTTTTGTGCCAGTTTTCAGTTTTCCAGACAACCCACCACTACCCCGAGGCAACTGTTTTCTAATTTCAATGACCACAGATTAGTTTTGTCTTTTCTTGAACTTCATATAAATGGAAACCTACAATAAGCATTGCCTTGTGTCTTTCTTCTGCTTTGTGTCTGACTTTATTATTGATGGGATTCATCCATGCTGTTGTATCAGTAATTAGTTGCTTTTAATAGTTGAGTAGTATTCTGCTGTATGACCGTACCACCAGTGGTCATCCATTCTCTTATTAATGGCCATTTGGTTTGCTTATAGTTTTTGACTATTATGCATAGAGCATTATGATCATTCTTGTATAAGACCTTGTGTGAGGTCAGAAGTTTGAGATCAACCTGGCCAATATGGTGAAGCCTAATCTCTACTAAAAATACAAAAATTAGCCAGGCACAGTGGCGGGCACCTGTAATCTCAGGCAGTAGAATTGATTGAACCTGGGAGGCAGAGGTTGCAGTGAGCCAAGACTGCGCCACTGCACTCCTGCCTAGGCAACAGTGAGACTTGGTCTCAAAAAAAAAAAAGTACTGTGTGGACATATATTTTTATCCATCTTGGGGAAAGAATATGGGTCAAATTGCTGAATCATATGGCAGCTTAATTTATAGACACTGCCAAATTGTTTTTCCAAAGCGACTGCACTCTTACACTCAGCAATAGATGAGAGTCAGTTGTTCTACATCCTTGCCAAATTTTGGTATTTTCAGTCCTCACAGAATGGTACCTTATTGTGATTTTAACATACATTTCTTTGATGCCTAATGATGTTGACTAACTTTTCATGTATTACTATTACCAGCCATATAGAACACAATAACATATGTAAAGCACTTAGCACAGTGCCTGGCCTATGATAGGAATGTCAGTTCTAACTACAGTTTGGATAACATTCGTTTTTCCTTGGATGTGACATCTATTGTTTTGTTTTCCAAAGCATTTCCTTTCTTTAGGGCTCAGCACCCTGGTTTTCCATGGGCAATCACTCTTCTCCGCTCTCATTTCATGCGGTTTGGATTGACTGATCGCTCCACAGACCACAGGCATGGACATACCACCCAATCAAAGTCAATGACCTTCGATTCTAGGATTTTTATTTTTATTTTTATTTTTTATTTTATTTATTTATTTTTTTTTTTGCGACAGAGTTTCGCTCTTGTTACCCAGGCTGGAGTGCAATGGCGCGATCTTGGTTCACCACAACCTCCGCCTCCTGGGTTCAGGCAATTCTCCTGCCTCAGCCTCCTGAGTAGCTGGGATTACAGGCACACACCACCATACCCAGCTACTTTTTTGTATTTTTAGTAGAGATGGGGTTTCACCATGTTGACCAGGATGGTCTCGATCTCTTGACCTCGTGATCCATCCGTCTCGGCCTCCCAAAGTGCTGGGATTACAGGCTTGAGCCACCGTGCCTGGCAGATTTTTTTTCATAAATAGTACCTCACTCTGTTGCCCAGGCTGGAGTGCAGTGGCACGATCTTGGCTCACTGCAACCACCACCTCCTGGGTTCAAGCGATTCTCCTGTCTTAGCCTCCAAAGTAACTGGGATTACAGTCAAGCACCACCATGCCCAGCTAATTTTTGTATTTTTAGTAGAGACGGGGGTTTCACCATGTTAGCCAGGCTAGTCTCAAACTCCTGACCTCAAGTGATCTGTCTGCCTTGGCCTCCCAAAGGGCTGGGATTACAGGTGTGAGCCACCACGCCCGGCCCAATTCTAGGATTCTAAATAGCAACTATTGGGAAGAGGCGGTCTTACTTTATTGTGGTGTCTAGTTATAGGATGATTTGAACCACGAGCTCCTGGGGCTACCATGTGGCCTAAGACTAAAGCCATTATGGAGAAAAGGAGACTAAGAGATGAAGAGACAGGTCCTTTTGAGCACCTGATTCTAACTTAGGCTGAAATTGACATTTTATTTATGTAATCCAATAAGTTGCTTTTGCTTAAACCAGCTGGGATAGGGCTTCTGATTCCTATCCTGGATACATTAGGATATATTAGGATAATCTAGACATGTTAAACTTCTGTCTAATCAATAAAGAGACTAGATGAGACTAGATACAGGAATCTAATGGCCAATGAAAAAGAAGTATCAACCAATTAATGGATCAGGCAGAAGCCAGATAACCCCCATAGTTCAGGACTTTATGAAAAAGTTGGATGGGTGAATATACTTGGATCTGAGGCCAAAGTGGGGCCCTCTTACTCTCTCTTCGTATCTAGACTTAGGGACCTCCCATAAGTAAAGCTAGATTTACAGGGCAGACTCTGACTTAGCCACCAGCTGTGAGAACTTTAGGTGGCCTTATATACTCTAGATGTCATCAGGAGAAAAGAGATGGAAGATGGCCAGAATTATCCTTGGACCATAATAATGGTAACCAAGAGGACCTAAAGAAAAGTCAAGATATAACTAACTTATCCTATTTAAACATTTCATTTGGTACAAATCTTAATGGAGAACTTTCTTTTCAATCTGTGGATTCCATTTCTCTTTTAGTGAATGTTTTCTTTATATATATATTTACACATATTAAATATATAGTCTATATCATTATAAATACATAATATATTTATTATATATAAATATAAATATACATATTTTAATAGAGTTGGGGGTCTTGCTATGTTGCCCTGGCTGGTCTTGAACTCCTGAGCTCAACCAGTGTACCCTCCTTGGCCTTCCAAAGTGCTGGGATTACAGGTGTGAGCCACTGTGCCTGGCTTTGTTTTCATATATTTTTGATAATTTTTCTGTTGTTTCATTGAATTTTTACTTCAAGGACAATTATGTATATATTGGGTCACTTTTTAAAAATGATGTGTTTCATTTCTTCAATCTAGAACAATCTTTTTTTTTTTTTTTTTTGAGACGGAGTTTCTCTCTTGTTACCCACGCTGGAGTGCAGTGGCACGATCTCGGCTCACCGCAACCTCCGCCTCCTGGGTTCAAGCAATTCTCCTGCCTCAGCCTCCCGAGTAGCTGGGACTACAGGCTCGCGCCACCATGCCCAGATAATTTTTGTATTTTTAGTAGAGGCGGGGTTTTGCCATATTGACCAGGATGGTCTTGATCTCTTGACCTCATGATCCACCCGCCTCGGGCTCCCAAAGCGCTGGGATTATAGGCGTGAGCCACCGCGCCCAGCCTAGAACAATCTTTTAAGTTATTTTCTGGGAAGGGTGGAGAGTGAGCTTTTATGACAATGACATTTTTGAGGAGTCCAGACAAGTTGTCTTGTGAAATGTCCCACAATTCAAATGTGTACAATTATTTGCTTATGATTAGATTCAGATTACACATGTTTTGCAAGAATAGCTAGTGTGCAGTGTTCAGTGTATCACATATGGATGGATATTGTCTCAGGTTTTCCCATGATTCATTGCACTAAATTTGAGCACTTAGCTAAGGTAAGTGTTCAGTAGATTTCTCCATTGGACCTGGGTTACTTTTATTTTCCATATCTGTTCATTTTTCTTAAATGACTTTTTGGGTTTTATTTCTTACACTCACTTTGTTTGTCTCAAGACTTTCCTTCTTGGAAATAATTTTTAGCTATATCAATTCTGTTCCTTACTGATAAGCAGTCCTGCTCCTGATATTTGTAGGACTAAGAGCAAGAAAATAAATGCAGGCCCATTCCCCATATATTTAAATATTTTAGAAGTTGTAAGCCAAACTAAGAAATTATTAAATTAGGCTGGGTGCAGTGGCTCACACCTGTAATCCCAGCACTTTGGGAGGCTGCAGCGGGCAGATCACCTGAGGTCGGGAGTTCAATACCAGCCTGACCAACATGGAGAAACCCTGTCTAAACTAAAAATACAAAATTAGCCTGGCATGGTGGTACATGCCTGTAGTCTCAGCTACTTGGGAGGCTGAGGCAGGAGAATCACTTTAACCCTGGTGGCAGAGGTTGTGGTGAGCCAAGATCGCGCCATTGCACTCCAGCCTGGGCAACAAGAGTGAAACTCTTGTCTCAAAAAAAAAAAAAAATTATTAAATTTAAAAAATGCTCTATCTTCTTTGACAAATATACTTTTATACTAACAAAATAGAAAATATGTGTAAAAGCTATGGTTTTTACATGACTGAAATTTGGCAAAATATTAAAGGTGACACATGTAATATGTAATTACAATTGGGCACATTTGAGTGTTCTGTTTATGGGCCTGAAATGTTTAGATGTGTACTAAAGTAAAGACTTTTATAGTTCATGTTTTTTTGTCTATGCCATAACATTAATTTTTCTTTCTTTCATTTTAGCAAAATCACTCATTGTGTTGGTATAATGAAGATTTTCACATAACTTGTTTTTTAGAACTTTTTTATGTTTTCATGTAATTTGTTTTTAAAAATATAGATTAAAAATTAAAAAAACAAAATTTGAATACTTTTCATCAAAAACAAAATAGATGTAAAAGATTGAAAATTTTAAATTGTTCTAATGATTTTTATATTTTTCTTCTAAAACTGAAATTTTAAAACTTTTTTTTTTTTTTTGAGAGACAGAGTCTTCCTCTGTCATCCAGGCTGAAATGCAGTGGCACAATCATAGCTTACTGCAGACTTGAGCCCCTGGGTTCAAGCAATTCTCCCATCTCAGCCTCCCAACTAGCTAGGGCTGTAGGTACACACCACCATGCCAGGTTAATTTTTTTTTTTTTTCGAGACAGAGTTTAGCTCTTGTTGCCCAGGCTGGAGTGGAATGGCACGATCTCAGCTCACCAAAACCTCCACTTCCCAAGTTCAAGCAATTCTTCTGCCTCAGCCTCCTGAATAGCATACACCACCACACCCAGCTAATTTTATATTTATACTAGAGAAGGGATTTCTCCGTGTTGGTCAGGCTGGTCGAGAACTCCCAACCTCAGGTCATCTATCCACCTCAGCCTCCCAAAGTGGTTGGGAATACACAAGCCACCATGACTGGCCATTTTTTGAATTTTTTTTTGTAGAGAAGGGTCTCATTATGTTGCCCAGGCTGGTCTTGATCTCCTGGCCTCAAACAATCCTCCTGCCTCAGTCTCCCAAAGCACTGGGATGACAGGTTTGAGCCACTGCACCCTGCCTGAAATTTTTCTATTAAAAGATGAAATAGGCTGAGTGCAGGGGCTCATGCCTATAAACCCAGTACTTTGGGAGGGCGAGGCAGGCAGATCACCTGAGGAGTCAGGAATTCGAGACCAGCCTGCCCAACATGGTGAAACCCTGTCTCTACTAAGAATACAAAAATTAGCCAGATGTAGTGGTGGGCACCTGTTATCCCAGCTACTGGGGAGGCTGAGGCAGGAGAATGGCTTGAACCCGGAAGGTGGAGGTTGTAGTGAGCTGCAATTGCACCACTGTACTCCAGCCTGTACAACAGAGTGACTCTGTCTCAAAAACAAAAAACCAGCACACACACACACACACACACACACACACACACACACACACAGAGAGAGAGAGAGAAAACAAAATAATTACATTGAACAAAAATCAAAATTGTATAAAGTTGATATTTTCTTTAATATTTATTTTAACAAAATAATATAATAGTAAATATTTTTACATTGTAAAACTATTTGTAGTATTAATGTTTAAAGTTCACATAGTTACCAACGTAAAGAATTGGGGCTACACTTCACATATGTTATTTCTTTTCTGTATGTACAAACACATTTAAGAATAATATGTAACACAAGTTGTTTAATGTTGCAAAATGCTCCTCAGATGCCATGCATAACAGTTGTGAATATGCTGTAATACTTTAGTACCTTTAAAACCAATGAATTAGACACAAAAAAACATGAGAGAATGAATACTTGGCCTTCTGGGAAACGATACTTTCTTCGGTAATAATCTATGGGATTCACACTGAAACTACATATTTGACAATCAAATGAATTGACCTATCATCCTTCCTAAACTCTTCAGCTCATATCTTTCTCATTCTCCTGAGCAGTGTCCATCTCTGATATTGGCAGAGGTGCAAAAACTTTCATGGCGTTTGGCATTCTTCAGTACTTCAGAAGAAACCTTTCCTTGGGGCCTGGGAGGTATGAATTGTGAGAGCAGGTTTAGGGTTGTGAGTTTTGCTGTGCCAGCACAGAACATCAGTGATGCCCACATGTTCTTTAATAAATTTATATTCCCGGTCTTTATGATATCCTCGGTCCTCTAAAGAGCAAGGCCCAGAGACTGGGTCTCTTTTATCTATATTTAATGTCATATGTAAAAAGCAGACGGGAGGCTGAGGCAGGAGGATTGCTTGAACCCAGGAAGCAGAGGTTGCAGTGAGCCAAGGTTGCACCACTGCACTCCAGCCTGGCACCTGGTGATGGAGCAAGACTCTGTCTCAAAAAAAAGAAAGAAAGAAAGAAAAAAAGAAGCAGAATTTATTAGTTATGGTGAGTATTCTTCTTTTGGTCTGTAATCTGTTTGCTTAGAATTGTAAGTTTCTCTTTTCCTATTGTTGTTCAATATTTCATCTTGTCTTTAAGTTCTTATTTATGGAATTCATATTTTTATTGAGTTGCTTTATAGAGAAGCCATTATAGAGAATTTCCTTCTCTCCTTTGAGTTATATTTTCTTGAACACTGGGTTCCATATCTTTTTTTTTTTCTTAATCTGGTCGTTTCTTTCTCCTCCTTTTAAAAAAGTAATAGATTTTCATAATGCAGATGGCATCTTTTTTTTTTTTTCATCTTCTTAATGTTTTAGGGGGCTCTATCCAGACTTTCAGTTTGCTTGAATGTGAGTAATTTCTCCTCAAATCCTTTCTCATTTTTGTGCAAGACCCATTTGTTTTGCCCTCTGAGCTGTGGCTGGAGGGCATAGTCCTAGTGCTCTGTCGCCTTTTCTGTATCTGTGCATTGGTGGGGAAGAGGTAGCTGGAATTGCCAGTATCCTTTCCCAGAGAAACTGAGCTCTAAGACTTTTTGAGGTTTTATTAGAAATCTTGTGTCAGACTTTCCTTTTCTATGATGGATTGGATGTGAAGGGGGAGGATATAGAGGAGTAATTATATTCCCATTGGAAGCATGGATTTCTCTGGAGTGTGTATTTCTATTGCAGAGAGTCAAAGCTGGCTGTTTAATCCCCCATCCCTTCTGCCTTCTTCCTACCAACAGCTCAAAAACGACATTTTTGAAGATTAGTCTTGCATCAATAATCAGGATGTTTTGAAATGGAAGAAATTGGACTCAGGGGGACCAAAGAAGCTAGCTACTCTCATGGCATTGCATGTGAAAAATGAATTAGGTGAAAACATTGTATATGAAGAGGAAAAGATGAACTCTCGTTATTTGGAGAAGAAACAACCCCATAAACTTATAGTGACAGAAGAGACATCCATAACAAAGGATTAGGAATAGATAACATTTATTTAACCACAGGGACTGAAGGATTCACACTGCTATCTGCAGCACGCTGAAAACTGTATTGATTCTTCTGAATGTGCAGAGAAAGATGACCTCAGTTTGGGCATCATACAACTTTTTTAAAAGTGAAAAATGAGGCTGGGTGCCATGGCTCACGCCTGTAATCCCAGCACTTTGGGAGGATGAGGCAGGCAGATCACGAGTTCAAGAGATCAAGACCATCCTGGTCAACCTGGTAAAACCCTGTCTCTACTAAAATACAAAAAATTAGCCAAAATGTACCTGCCAGAAAATTTAAAATTAAATATATGGCTGACCTTTGTGGCTATGTAAGTTTTAGACAGTGCTGGTCTAGAATATCATCCAATTTTTAATAAACCCATGAAACCCAAGTGCTTTGCCTTTCCCCTAATATCTTCTTCAGTACTAGCCAATAAAAAGGCTTTATCCTCCATCCTAAGTAATAAGGCATCTTGTTCCTCTTCCTGTTTTACCCAAGGTTCTAGTGACTTTGGAGTATTTGGGAAAAAATACAGAATCTATCCACAACACGGGTGAGTTTGCATCTGGAACCTATCATCTCACCCCTGTGTAGATTTTTGAAAGTACTGCTGCATTTTTATTTTATTTTTTAAATTTTATTTATTTATTTTTTGAGATGGAGTCTTGATCTGTCACCTAGGCTAGAGTGCAGTGGTGGGATCTCAGCTCACTGCAACCTCCGCCTCATGGGTTGAAGTGATTCTCCTGCCTCAGCCTCCCAAGTAGATGAGATTACAGGTGTGCACCACTATGCCTGGATAATTTTTTTGTATTTTTTAGTAGAGATGGGGTTTCACCATGTTGGACAAGCTGGTCTCGAACTGCTGACCTCAAGTGATCTGCCCCACTCAGCCTCCCAAAGTGCTGGGATTATAGTCCCAGTCCCAGTCAACGCCCAGGCCAGATGCTTGGCCAGCCACTGACTTACCTGCATTGACAATTAGCCTCCCAGATAAATTCTACTGTGACAGATTGGTGGCATCCAATAACTACAGCCACTGCAAGACCCTTTTCAAATTGTGGTGGCTTCTTATTCAATGCCAGTGAGACCTTCTCCAGCCCATCCTACCCTGGATACTATCCCAACAATGCTAAGTGTGTTTGGGAAATAGAAGTGAATTACGGTTACCGCATAAACCTGGGCTTCAGTAATCTGCAGTTGGAGGGGCACAATAGTTGCAGTTTTGATTATGTTGAAATCTTTGATGGATCACTGAACAGCAGCCATCTGCTGGGGAAAATCTGTAATGATAACAGGCAAATATTCACATCTTCTTACAACCGAATGACCATTCACTTTCGAAGTGACATTAGTTTCCAAAATACCGGCTTTTTGGCTTGGTATAACTCCTTCCCAAGCGATGCCACCTTGAGGTTGATCAATTGAAACTCATCCTATGGTCTATGTGCTGGGCATGTGGAAGTTTACCATCGTGGTACATGGGAGACAGTTTGTGATGACTCCTGGACCATTCATGAAGCTGAGGTGGTCTGCAGACAGCTAGGGTGTGGACATGCACTCTCAGTCCTTGGAAACGCCTATTTTGGCTCTGGCTCTGGCCCCATCACCCTGGATGATGTAGAATGCTTGGGGACAGAATCCACTCTCTGGCAGTGCCGGAACCGAGGCTGGTTCTCCCACAACTGTCGTCACCATGAAGATGCTGGTGTCATCTGCTCAGGATACCAGCTATCAACAACTGCTCCTTTTCCCAACGTCAGTCATCCAAACACAAATTATTCCTGTGGAGGCTTCCTGAACCAACCATCAGGGCACTTCTCCAGCCCATTCTATCCCAGGAACTATCTGAGCAGTGCCAACTGTGTGTGGGACATTGAGGTTCAAAGCAACTACCATGTGACTGTGATCTTCAGAGATGTCCAGCTTGAAGGTGGCTGCAACTATGATTATATTGAAGTTTTTGACGGCCCTTACCACAGTTCCCCTCTCATCACTCGAGTTTGTGATGGGGCCAGTGGCTCCTTCACTTCCTCCTCCAACTTCATGTCCATTTGCTTCATCAGCGACCACAGCGTCACGAAGAGATGGTTCCAGGCTGAGTACTACTCCAGTCCCTCCAATGATAGCACCGACCTGCTCTGTCTGTCTAATCACATGCAAGCCAGTGTGAGCAGGAGCTACCTCCAATCCCTGGGCTTTTCTGCCAGTGACCTTGTCATTTCCAACTGGAACAGATACTACCAGTGTCGGCCCCAGATAACGCCGAGCCAGGTGATATTCACAATTCCCTACTCAGGCTGCGGCACCATCAAGCAGGTAGACAATGAAACCATCAACGATTCCAACTTCCTCAAAGCAGGTGTCTCCCATGGCATCATCAAGAGGAGGAAGGACCTCCTTATTCACTTCAGCTGCAGGATGCTTCAGAACACCTGGGTCAACACCATGTACATTGCTAATGACACCATCTGGGTCGAAGAAGGGCAGTATGGCAATTTCGACGTGAACATTTCCTTTTATTCTTCCTCCTCTTTCTTGTATCCTGTGACCAGCAGCCCTTACTACATGCACCTGAACCAGAACTCGTACCTTCAGGCTGAAATCCTCCATTCTGATGCCACGCTGGCCTTGTTTGTGGATACCTGCGTGGCATCACCATACTACAATGACTTCACGTCTTTGACTTATGATCTCATCCGGAGCAGATGCGTGAAGGATGAAAGCTACCGGCCCTACTCACAGCCGTCTCCGGTTCAGTGCCTTCCACTTCCTGAGCCGCTTCCCCTCGGTGTACCTGCAGTGTAAAATGGTGGTGTGCAGGGCGTATGACTACTCTTCCTGCTGCTACCGAGGCTGTGTGGTGAGGTCCAAGAGGGATGTGGACTCCTACCAAGAAAAGGTGGATGTCGTCCTGGGTCCCATCCAGCTGCAGACCCACCATGCCAAGAAGAGGAGCCTCAGTAGGTGGTCCCTCTCAGACCCCACTGGCCAGCGGGGTGCACACCCCTGACTCTCGGGGACTTGGGATGTTTCTCTTGGTTTCATGTTCCAACTCAGATTTGAGCACTCCACTGTGATACACCTGGCCATACAGAGTTGAATCAGACCTGGTTCCCGCCTCCCCCAAGGCTCATGGTCTTTGGAGGACCCATTGAAGGGCATGGTCCAGAGACTTTTGACCTGGTTGTCCCACAGACCTGACCTCCCAGAAACCATGCTTCCCATCTGCAAAATGAAAATGTTGTTACTTCTTAGCACTGTTGAGAGAGTTACATAAAGGAGTTTTGGAGAAACAAAAACAAACAAACAAACAAAAATTTTGGAGAAACAAAATAGTTGATGGTGTCAAAATTTTGGAGAAACCGTGCCTGGCCTACTGCCTCTTTTTACTACTTCTCCAAAACAGTGCTAATACAAAGCTATTTCAATTAACAAATGTTTCTGAAGTTTCAGAGAATAATTACAGCACAAGCAGAAAACTGTTTCAGATTGTTTATAACTCCTCTCCTTATATCTTTTCCTGTCATTCTCCACTAGAGGGGATTTCTCACTGCTTCAAGAGGCCGTACTATGTGGAGCATGTTGCCAGGAACACACTTTGCCAGTATCCCCTGCAATTAGATATGTGACCTAACCCCTGCCCTGCAAATATATACATGTGCCAGGGTGAGACTTTGGGAAACAAGCAGCATGAAGGCAAGCGCCATTTTTCTGGTAATGATGATGGTGGAGAAATCGAGTTTCAGGGGAAGCAGTAACAGCAGTTTTGGCATCTAATGCGCAGCACCAGGTATGATCAGTAGGGTCTTTGCTGGTGTAATCGTGTCATATGGTAGTACATTGGGCATTTTTCCTGGTTATGTACTCTCCAAGCCTGACTGATCCTCCTGCAAATTCTGTGACCTACCTAAGTGTCTTTATTAAATTAATTTTCTGCTTAACTAGCTAAATTGGTGTACTATTTAGGATGTTTTTTTCAGTATCTAAACATGCAAGCTCTTCAGATAAGATTGAGATGTTTTCTCTCTCATGTAACAATACAGGGTTGATATGGTGGCTCCACAGTGTTGGCAAACCCACTGACTCACAACTCTTAAATAGTTGTCATTATCTGCCAACATGGGTCATCAACGTTCTGGTGTTCTACCCAGTCAGGAAAAGAATGGGAAAATATGCCTCTTCCCTTTAAGGATATGACCTGGATGTTGAACATATCGCTTCCTTTTACATTCTCCATTGACTAGAACATAGTTATATGGCCAAACCTAGGTGCAAGAGAGCCCGGGAAATGAAATGTGAAAGTTGTCAGAATCAAAACGGAGTCACTAATGTTAAGAAAACCTGGAGAAACAGAGCCAGAGAAGGTCATGAAGAGAAGATTCATAAATTAGCCAGACATAGTGGCACATGCCTGTAATCCAGCTACTTGGGAGGCTGAGGAATGAGAATTCCTTGAACCCGGGAGGTGGAGATTGCAGTGAACCAAGATCACACCATTGCACTCCAGCCTGGGTGAGAGAACAAGACCCTGTCTCAAAAAAAAAAAAAAAAAAAAAAAAAAAAAAAAAAAGAAAGAAAGAAAAAAGAAAAAGAAAAATAAAAGATCCTCATGCTTGTGCACCTGATAAAGAAAAAAGACTACAAAAACCACAACCTTGGACAAAGGCCTTTGCAACCTTATACAAAAAATACTTCTCCAAGGACACCTGCCTAGCAACTACCTGTCCAACCTCAGACTGGCATTACCCTTGCTATTGATCATTGTAGCCAAAGATAATATTTCAAAACAATTACGTAATTTTCCTTATTTCCTTTAAAAACCTTTGTTGACTGGGCATGGTAACTCACACCTATAATCCCAGCACTTTGGGAGGCCCAGGTGAGCTGATCACCTGAGGTCGGGAGTTTAAGACAAGCCTGGCCAACAAGGTAAAACCCCACCTCTACTAAAAATACAAAAATCAGCCAGGTGTGAGTGTATGCCTGTAATACTAGCTGCTGGGGAGGGTGAGGCAGGAGGTTGCAATTAATCCTGGAGGCGGAGGTTGCACTGAGCTGAGATGGCACCACTGAACTCCAGCCTGGGTGACAGAGTGAGACTGTTTCAAAACAAACACCTTTGTCTTCCTTTGCCTCCCTGAATATGAACATAGGTTACTATGACATGTATATTTCCATTGCAATGCCCTATTCCCAGATAAACATAATTTCCTTTTAGAGCCTCACTCTGTCTGTTATTTAGGTTAATGTTACTTTCAATGTTCAGAAATATTTGTTGGCTCCTAGAAATAGCATATGCAAAGGATCTGAGGGTAAGGAAGAACATGAAAATGTTGGGTAATGACAAGTAGTTTGGTGTGACTGCAGCTTATGGTGGAGTGGGAGAGCTATTAGTGAAAGGTGAGGCCAGGGATGCAGCAGTGCCTGTATGCCAAGATGAGGAGTTTAGACTTTGTCGTGGTGACAAAGACAGGTGATTAGTTTGCATTTTAGAAAGGCCATTGTATTTGCATTTGCCTGAATTCTTGGGCAAAAGAGAAGCTGACTGGCTGATTAGTCAGAAATAGATTTAATTAAAATACCATTGCAATGTAGAATTATTAGGGACCTGGTCTGAAGTTCAGTTTCCATGAACAGTGTCTCCAACCATGTGGGCGACCTGGTCTGATGAAGCCGTCCTTCCCCTATCACTGTCATCACAGAGCACTAGTTGCTACAGTTTGCACTATTGCCAGTGAGTGAGCACAACTGAAATTTTCACAAACTCCTGCCACTGCAGCCATTTTTGTACCTCAGAAATCCAAGTTTGCAGCCACTGCTGTTTCTGAAGGCTGGATACATTTACCACCAGCAAGGAGATTCTACATGGATCTCTCGCCTGCCCTGGTCTACTGCTGAATCAGATTCTCATTTAGACATCTGATTGGTGGAGGTTAGGTTGCAATGTGCCTGTGAAGAAGTATGGGTAGTATTTTCTGAGTTAAATCCCCAAACACAGAGAGGATGTTTCAAAGGTACCGGCTGATAGAAAAACATGATAAATGCCCACATCATATCTTTTCATGTGGTCTGGCTTTCTGGAAATACACTGTCTGGACCCAGACATTTATCTTGATCTTGGACAAGAGGGAGAATGTAGCACTTTTTTTTTTTTTTTTTTTTTTTTTTAGATGGAGTCTTGCTCTGTTGCCCAAGCTGAAGTGCCATGGTGCAATCTTTGCTCACTGTAAATTCTCCCTCCTGGATTCAAGTGATTCTCCTGCCCCAGCCTCCTGAGTAGCTAGAATTACAGGCACCCACCACCACACACGGCTAATTTTAGTATTTTTAGTAGAGACAGATTTCATCATGTTGGGAAGGCTGATCTTGAACTCCTGACCTTGTGATCCACCCCCTTGGCCTCTCAAAGTGCTGGGATCCAGCTATGAGCCACTGTATCCAGCTGGTAGCAATTCTTTTTGCTAAGCACAGGTGGGACTTGTCTTTCCAGTTCTACATTTTAAATAACAATCACAAGTTTTAACTCTAATTTCATTGCCAGGCATTATGCCAGGTACTTTTATTGCACTCCTCCTCAACTCTTTGTGCATCAACTCCCCCATCCCCTGCCCCACTATTAGACAGATGAGCAAACTGAGACTCAGAAAGTTCAAATGACTTACGAAGTCTGGGGAACTTGGAAGTGAGGGAACCAGGATTCGAACTTGAGTTTTCTGACTCCAAGTCTTTTTCCATTACACTTTTTTGTGTATAAAACCCTGGAATTTTCTAAAATTAGAAAAACATTTTAATAAGTTGTATGAACTTATTTATTTCCTTATTGCTGGTTAGATGGGAACTGATGGATTTGGCTTATATAAAAACAATGTCTTTCTTTTAAGTGAGCACACTGTTGGAAGTAAAATGCTTAGTGCTGCAAAGTGAAAATAGCACTCAGGCAAAAGTTTTCTCAGCAAGGCAATTTACATCTATAGAAGGATTTATCTCATGGATGGAGCAATGGCGAGAGCACACTGGACAAGGGAGGGGAAGGGGGTCTTATTCCTAATATAGCTAGTCTCTACTGCTGTGTCTTTTCCCTATTGGCTAGGGTTGGACCGCATAGTCTAAGCTAATTCCAATTGGCTATTTTAAAGAGCGCAAGGGTACATGCTGGAGTGGTGGGGTGAGTAGTTTTAGTGGGAAGGATGGTTACAGAGCAGGTGACTAAGGACGACTAAGGACATAGCAGGTGATAGACGCTAGGAGGAGGTTGTTTACTGAAACTAGCAGAAAAAACAAGGAAGTTAAACTGTACAATGGAGAACAAAGAACAGGGAAGCTGAGCATACTGATATATTAGTTCTTTGAAAAGGAATTCAGAACTCATGGTACTTAACAATTTTCCCCTTTTGGATTTTAAAGTAAGTGAGCAAGCTAAAAAACCTTTGAAGAGGAATTTACTGAATCCTACAACATGGAATCTTCTACTCATTCCATGAGGTTTTTAAAATTAATTAATTAATTAAATTTTTATTCCAGGGTCCCTGGAAGCCTCTAGATACTATCTTTTCTTAGAGAAGATATGAACCCACCTAGTGTCCCTAGAGAGAAGATATGAACCCACCTAGTGTCCCTAGAGCTGACTAAGCAGTAACTCTCATGGCTGCTGTAGGTGATGGGCCTAACTCATGGTAACTCACGGTTGGTAGTAACTGGGCCTTTGGGGATGCAAAATTGTGAATGTAAATTTGGGATTTAGTGCCAAACACTCTCCCACCCTCAAGTGTTTATTCCAGTTTGCTTCATACCCTTATAATTATGAAAATAAGCATGATATAGTAAGTTTCTTATGATAAAATCGATTCATTCATTTTTTATCATACTGACATTTTGGCCTTCCCAATTTGTTACTGTTGGCATACTTTTTTTGTTGTTGTTGTTGTTTTTTTAAGTCAGTGTCTTGCTCTGTCACCAAGGCTGGAGTGCAGTGGCATGATCTTGGCTCACTGCAACCTCTGCCTCCCAGGGTCAAGCCATCCTCCCGCCCTAGCCTCCTAAATAGCTGGGATTACAGGCATGCACATCACACACAGCTAATTTTTGTATTGTTCGTAGAGACAGGGTTTTGCCACATTGCCCAGGCTGGTCTTGAATTCCTAAGCTCAAGCAATCCTCCTTCCTTGGGCCTCCCGAGGTGCTGATATTACAAGTATCAGTCACTGCTCTCAGCTGACATAATTTTTTTTTTTAAAGGAAATTATTGTTTTAGTATTTAGTGAGATCCTTTATTTAACTTTTGAAAAATACTGGGCTGGGCGCGGTGGC